CCAAGATAGCAGTGTTTATGTGTTTCCTGGTTTACATTTTTTAAGTTAACTTACAGAAAAGCATGGAAGGTTTACCATAATTATAGCACAAAAAGTATATGTTAGAAACTATTACAATAGATAAAACCAGAAGTGTTCACCAGCAAGAGAGAAATGTGTCATGAAAGACACTGCCTTAGGGAAGAGGCTCTCTATTCTTTTGGTCTCAAGACCCTTTATATTTCCCCAAATGTGTCTGTTTAAATGGTTTGTGTGTGTGTGTGTGTGTGTGTAATATACACAGAGAAATGCATATATATGTAAACATGTATATATATGAAATTAAAAGATATTTGAAATAGCTTTTATTGAATTAATTTTAAAATAGTAATAGGAATAACCATAAAAAGCTGACATAAAGAACACTGGGTGTGTCTATATGTGTGTGGTGTATGCCTGTATATGTTCATGTGTGTAAGGGTGTGTATACACATGTGTATGTGCATGAATGTGCAGGTCAAACATCAATGTCAGAGGTCTTCTATCAGGCTCCACCTTATCTCTTTGGACAGGCTCTCTCAGTCAATCTGGAGCTTACCAATTAGGCAAGACTACCTGGCCAACAAGCTCTAGAGATACACCTGTTTTCACTTCCCTGGTGCCAGGATCACAGGCATGCACCACTTTGCCCAGATTTTTAATGGGTGCTGCGGGTCTGAACAAGTCTTTGTGCAAACACTTTACAAACCGAGTCAGTCCCAGGAACACACTTTTATAAAAAATTATAATTTCCAAAACAAAATAAAATTAAGAAAGAATAGCACTGCTTTACATTTTTTTACATCTCTTTACCAGGTGGCCTAACAAGAGAAACTAAAGTCTTCAACTTTTATCTGTAACTAATTTACAACGACATGCTGTTTTGGACAACATATGAAAAACCTGCCTCTCACAGTTACAGTTATGTAGCCCTTGGAAGGTAAGACACTGGTAGACTCCTAAGAGGTTGTCAGAGACCTCAAGTCCTTCGGGTAAACTTTGAGGTGCTCTAGGAAAAATAATTGAACCTAAACATTAACTAAATAAATAAAAATATAAAAATACTTAAAGCTACAGCCAGGCGTGGTGGCATACACCTTTAGTCTCAGCACTCAGGAGGCAGAGGCAGGTGGATCTCTGTGAGTTCAAGACCAGCCTGGTTGACATAGTGAGTTCCAGACCAGCTGGAGCTACAGGGAGACCCTGTCTCAAAAAGACCAAAAAAAAAAAAAAAACAAAAAAACAAAAACAAAAACAAAAAACCTTAAAGCTATAATGATGGTAACTATCAGAATAACTTTTTACTTATATTTATTCGTGTGTGTGTGTGTGTGTGTGTGTGTGTGTGTGTGTGTACATGCATGATGATGTGGATGTGGAGGTCAGAAGAAAACTGTCAAGAGTCAGTTATCTCCTTCTACCATGTGGGTTCTGGGGACCAACTCAAGTTGCTTTACTTGGTTGGCAGTAAACACATTTACCAGCGGAGTCATCTCATCAGCCCTTTAACTTTGATACAGGGGCCCACAATGTAGCCAAGGCAAGGCCTCAAATTTGCAGTAATTCTTTCTCAATAACCCCACCTGCATCACCCTACCTAAGTAAGTACTAGGATTATATGCATGAGCCACCACACCCAACTACTAAGAATAACTTAATAAAGTTGAAGGCTGGAGAGATGACTTGGTGAGTGAAAGTACTTGTTTTGCAAGCCAGATGACCTGAGTTGAATCTCCAGAACCCATGGTCGTAGAAGGATAGAACTGACTCTTGAAAGTTGTCCTCTGACCTCCATACTCACGATATGGCATGTGTGCACCTGCACACATGCATGGGAGCACGTGCACACACACACACACACACTTTTTCTAATTAAAAAAAAACATGGAGATTTTCACTTTAGAGCTTTCTGTATGTTCTAGCTGAGTTCCTCTATTTATATGCAGCATTTAATCCATCAGAAATTTAGAAACTACTTTCTGTGGCATATGCCACAATGTAGCAGTGCCTGAACAAAAAAAAGTCTAACTCCTGGAATCATTTAAACCAAAAGTGAGCCCAATCTGTGTTCAGAAATGTTCCTTTCTTATTTCTCCCAGAACTGTTATTTGAACAAAAGAATTTCATCACGACTTCAGCTGAGCCTGATCGATCGCCAAACATTGTGACAACTGGGCTTTTTGATGGTTGTGTTCTCTGTATTTTTTTAAACAGTACAACTAGCATGATATCTGAAAAAAACGAGGAACTTTGCCTTCTATTTTTTTTTTTTTAAACGTATATGAGTGTTTGCCTGCATGTATATATCTGTATCACCTACATGCCTGGTACTGCCCATTGAGGCCACAAGAAGGTGTCAGAACTCCTGGAACTGGAACTACAGAGTTCTGGGCTACCATCAAGAGCTGGGAACCAAGCTCTACAAGAGCAGCAAGTGCTCTTAACCACTGAGCCATGAGAGACCCTAGGAACTAGGTAGAAAGAACAGACCCAGAACAGCATACAAAACCACAAAAGTTATCAACCTAAGCCCGTATGTTGTTTTGCAACATGCACTATGGACAATTCGTTGTTTTCAATGTCACAATAATGTTTTCACAACATACAGGTATATATACATTATTCTGGGCCAGGCTCCCAGCACCCACATGGTGGCCAACAGCGATCTTTAACTCCAGTTCCAGGGATCCAATGCTCTCTTCTAGCCTCTGTGGGCACTGCACACACACAGTGCACTTACATACATGCAAGCAGACCACTCATACACTTAAAATACAAATAAATTATTAACAACTTAAAAAACAGCTGGGAATGGTGGCACATGCCTTTAATCCCAGCACTCTGGAGGCAGAGGTAAGCAGATCTCTGTGAGTTCAAAGCCAGCTTGGTCTACATAGTGAGTTCCAGGCCAGTTGGGGCTCCAGGGAGTCTCTGTCTCAAAAAAAAAACAACAAAAAAAAATTAAAAAACAAAAAATGATTAGACAGGCATGGTGAAACATGCCTGTAATCCCAGCACCTGGGAGGCAGAGACGGGAGGATCTCTGTGAGACTGAGGCCAGCATGATCTACACAGGCCAGGTGGGGGCCTGCGAGCAACCCTGCAAAGACTGCTCAGAGAGGAAGCGAGCAGGGCAAGGCTTGGCTTGTTCTGAAAACCTCCCGACTGGCTAAAGGACATTTCCCGGTCTCCTGGGACTTGTGATCTGAGCATGATCATCGCTGATGTCTATGGGACTCTGCCCATGTGGCGGGTTGACCTTTAAGCCGATTGGATACATTTGGGATGGGATTTTGGGGGGGGGGGTTCAAACTGCAGTTTTTGCCTTTATAAGCTCTGTGACACCTGCAATAAACGAGTTCCTGCTTGACGAGACTCCCTGTCGCATCTGACTGTCCTCGGCAAGGAGGGCTAGTGGAACAGGTGGACAGCGCATCCCTTTTTCCCTGCTCTCCTGTGTGGGTGGCTTCTTCAGAGAGGTCTGCAGGCCGGGTCTGCTCCAGCCCGGATGCCCCCACAAAGTTTAAAGCTATAGGCTAAGCTTAAGCTTAGCTATGCTTAGCTTAGCTTGTAAAAGTTAATTATTGGGGCTGGAGGGATGGCTCAGCAGTTGAGCACTGTCTGCTCTTGCAGAGGACCCAGGTTCAAATCCCAGCACCCACATGGTGGCTAATAACCATCTGTAACTCCAGTTCCAGAGACTCCAAAGTCCTCTTCTAACCTCCTCAGGCATTGCACAACATGGATGCACTTACACACATGCAGGCAATACACTCAGACACATAAAAAAAAAAAAGTCCATAAGTTATAAGAAAAGATATATAAAGTTCTAAGAACCCAAGTCCTAGTGAGATTTTCCTAAAGCATAGCTAAATTTAAATAAGCTGATTACACAGTAGGAAGGCAGACTGAACAGACAGCATTCAATGATCTCAATATATAAGATTAACTTTAGTTGCAAAGAATAAGATAGGAAGCATTCCCACAACTTTCAAGACTTAAAGGGCAAATTTTCAAAGAGCTTTAAAAGGTCCCTTGATCCCCAGAACATTCCATAAAATATTTCACTTATCTTGAAGCACCTTTAAGATACACTTAGTACTATAGTACAAGTGCCTGTTTACCTATCAGTTTCATCAGAAGATTATGACCATCCCATAAGTGGACAATACCGTATCCTATTTATCACTGTCTCCTGGTGCTGAACAGGCAGTCTACAGATACTTGGTCCAGTAGGTGGCTGGTAGGTAGGTGGCTAAAGGAGCCCAAAGAAGTCCAACATTTAACGATAACTTTTTAAAAGCTAATGCATATGTCTCTTCCCTAATTTATAAATAGTATGTCTTTATTCAACCATTGTCTTTACAACAAAAATAATGAAATACCAAAAATAAAAAATAGAGCTGGGTTTTATATGCCAAGTAGAAAGTTCAGATTACTTACATTTGTAACATAATTATTTTAATGACTAGATTATATAGAAAGCATACTGTAAAGTCTAGATGCAAGGAAAATGTATTTAATATAATTTCTTATATGTTTTATTAGTAGCATTGCTTTTATTTTTCTAGTGAGTGCTTACTACTTTTATTTCATTCAGTGTATCAAGAAAGAACGCCTAAGTTCATAAACTGTACTTCTTTTGTATTTTGGCCAAAAACCAATTTTCTTCCATCTTTTAATATTCCTATATTATGCCTACAAAATTCCAAGTATATTCTTTCATTTTAAACAATCATTAACTCCTTCCAAAACTATAACCTTTAATTAATGGACCCATCTATTTATGAAATGCTTATTATACTAAAAACCTTGCCAAATAGTTACCTCCAAAATTATATGAATTTTAAATTACAAGGGGAAGACTGATTTTATATATTCACACATATTTTAATGTTTAATTTTCATACAACAAAGTATGAATCTTAGATAAGATTTTTAAAAAGATAAGATTTCAAAATGCTAACATGAAGAGAGTTTACCTTTAGTATTGAAGTCATGAACACAGAGAGGCCCATCAGGACAAAAATTATCAGCCCCGTAACCCGCTGTTCACGAATTCCCAAAAATTTGGGCTGTTCCCCTGGAGCAGAACATTCAGATTCAACTTTTAAGCTGTTGACATGACTTATAGACAACACTGTTGCAGCCACGAACCACGGAAGGCCCATGATAGAGCAGACGCCCAACATGACACCGACCATGAGCAAGTCAAGGTGATAGCCAGCTCCCTTCTGAAACGGGAAATAAACACTTGTAAATCTAGGCAGTACCTTCATGTTAAAATTCTGAATTATTAAGAGAGCGGGAAGAAACTAATTTTCATCTTACAACTTTTAATTCTAATTATTAAGGGAACATCTCAAACCCTTAAAGTCGTCTTACAGAATTACCTTCAGTTTGTGTTCCTTTCTGTTGATGATTACAGCTGTGATTTGTTGGTCCATAAAGATGAGAATGGTACAAAGCAGAGCTGGAACTGCTGCAATCAGTAAGGTCCACCAAGGGTTGTTTCCCAGTGGGCATATGATCCAGCCCCTTTCTGAATGAGTAGGCTGTTAGATAAAAGAGGAAAAACTTCATTCTGAACTAAATTTCTACAGTACAGAGTGGGTTTATTCTAAGAAATGCAAAAAGATTGTAAAAATCTGAACTAACTCTTAAGATGTAAGGTGAATTATTGCAGATAGTCACAGAAATTCCTTCCAAGCCTACAAGCATACCCTGTCCTAGGGTTCATCCACTCTTCCCATTTAGAGGTAGAATCTACTTCACTTCCCCTTGAACCGAAGTTGATCTTGTAACTTCAAACAGAGTAAACATGTATGGTCTTCAAATCATGACTTCAAGAAACTTTGCAGCTCCTTTAACCCTCTCAAAGTCCTGAGATGACCGTGGTGTCAAATAAGCCTACGTAACCTTTCTTGAGAGCAAGATACAAAGCAGTAGGAGAGCAGGAAAGAGAATGACCACCACCCTAGCAGTTCCAACCCCCTGAGCTGTGTCTCCAGGCAGGTGGATGAGGCAAGACTAACCCCACCAAAGTACAAGAATACTACAGCCGTGAAAATGATGAGACCACATCCTACCCAGCAGGCCCAAATGCCAAAGAATTATAAACAGAGGGCTCCTGTTAGAGACTGGTATTTTTTGTTTTTGTCTTTTTTTTCGGGGGGGGGGGTATGCAGACATAGGGTTTGTGAAGTAGCCCAGGTTAGCTTCAAACTCACAAACTTCCTGCCTCAACTTCTCCAGTTCTGAGATTACAGACAGGCATCTCAGCACCAGACTGTTTTGAGGAGGTTTGTCCTGCAGAGACTAGACACATGAACTAGAGCATCATGTAATGTGGACTTACACACTCCAGACATAATGAAATAAATCTTTCCTGGACCAACCCCAAAAGTACCTTGTGTAAGATTTCTGCAATTAGTCACAGCAAAGTTGGTACTGAGTCAGAAGTGGCACAAAGACTACTGAAAAACTCTGGCACCTTTCCAGAGATTTAACTAGGGTCTTGCTGCAGCTTTTATAAATTCAGTTTAGATTACTTCTATATAAAGGAATAGAGGATGCTTTCTTTTTCCCTGTTCCTCTAAGAGAACAGCTATTCTGGGTACTGCATTCACTCTTTGATGGACTTTGATACTTTTCTTAAATATGCTCATTCATCCCTTTATGTGATATCTTTTGTCTGTATGTGGCAGTGGGAGGGCGAACACATGTACCTTTGTGTGCACATTGAGGCAAGAGAAGGACAAGTGTCCTACTCTGTTACTTTCCACACTATTTCTTTGAGGCAGGGTCTCTCACTGAACTTGGAAGCTAGGCTGGTAGCCAGAGAGCTCCAGCAATCCTCCTGTCTCTGCCATCCATAGTGCTGAGGGATTATAGGCACATGTGCCAACCATACCCAGCTTTTTATGTAGGTGTTGGGATCCAAACTGGGGTCCTCATGCTAGTGTAGCAAGCACTCAAGCTCTTCAGCCACTACAGTATCATTTTTCATGTGAAACATCATTTTTCCTTTCAAAGCATCAGCTCTTCAGAGACTACATACACTTTGGAGAATTTTACATATGAGTACACTGTATTCCTATCATTTTCACTCTTCTCTCACCTTTCCAGCTCATTGTGTCCCTCTCATACCCCTTCTCAAATTCATGACCTCTTCTGTAAGTATTGTTTTTACACTTACATTTACACACACACACACACACACACACACACACACCCCTCCCTCCCTACCTACCTTGCTGGGTTCAATTAGTGCTGCTTTTATATACATGGGGTTAGAGCAGGCCACTTAGGCTTGGGTAACCTTTAAGGAGGCTCATCTCTGGGGAAAAGTGATTCTCCCTCTCTCAGCGACTACTAACTGCCTGTAGTTCTTCCACTAGGGGTGGAGCCTCTGACCTATCCCCCATCCATATGTGCATGTGAACTGGTGTGGTGTTGTGTACATCTTCTCCAGGCAATCATATCGTTCAGACGCAACATCCATGGCATATCCAGAAGATTAATCATGCAGGAGTCTTCCCGGTCCTCTGGCTCTCAAAAACTTCCCATTCTCTCTTCTATAGTGCTCCCCAAGCCTTAGTCAAGGGCTGACTATATGCATTTTTAATGTAACTACTTAAAGAGGCAGTTTCTTGCTTCAAGTAGTTTGGTATTTCCAAGAAAGAATCATTTGTTTTAATCCTTACCTTAAATTTCTCAGGAACATTAAGTTTAGGAGATGGAACTCCTACAAAGTAGTCAATTACAACCATTATTACTATTGTGATAAATACAGCAAAGTCACTGATTGTCGATCGCACCTATGGTAGAGGGATTACATTAATATAAACACAGAATTACTTCCTGTCTTTTCGAAATAATTCATGTCTTTCACATGAAATGTCACTAATGTGTAGATGACATTTTTAATAATTAACAGTGTCACTAGATATATCTATATCCAATTCTTCCCTAAATGGTGAGAAATAAGTCACAACTAACCTACTGTTTCTCAAAGCACTATTATCTTCCTCCTGTGAACAGACATGTAATACATTTTTTTTTTACTAAAAAAGTTTCTTTTAGACTGTTTAGCACAAAGTACTAATCTTAAACAATAAATTGCTTTAAAGTAAATCATGAAAATGAAATAACATGAATATTATCAAAATTTCAGTTACCTTGGTAGGAAAATATCGCTTGGTCTTAAACTGCTTGAGGAATGAAGACAGAAAAAACGTTGTGAAAAACAAGATGACACACCAGAAGAACACATCTGGAGTGTAAGGTCCATGAGGACTACAAGCTGATCCTAGGAACACACCACGGTAGGTTTTACACTCCTAGAAGGGGCAGGGGGGAATGAGGTAGAGGAGATTTTCAAATATCCAATAAAGCATTCATGAAGATATTTGATTCTAGGATGTCAATTTTACGTTCTACTCAGAAAGCCACCGCTAACTACACCACATCAAGAAATAATATGATTTGTCCATCAAAATCACTGAAATGGAATATCTCACCAACTTTCTCCTTTCTTTCAACTGCATGTTACTTTAGAGAAAGGGGCATAATGAGTACTAACTGTGAAATGCTTCCTCTGCATTCCTGCATGGCCGTAACTGCACTGTCTTTCATTCACTTTTAATATGTGGTTTAAGTAAAAGCAGCGGTCATAAAATTACTACTGTGGTCTTTACAATGTTGAATGGAAAATTCTTAGAGTGATACCTTAAAAGACAAATGGAGCTGGGTATGGTAAAATCACACACACACACACACACACACACACACAAGTCTAATCCTATCTCATGGGGTAAGGCAGGAGAATTAATAATTGCAAGTTATCCTCTGACCTCCACCTCTATATGCATGTAATCAATCATAATAATAATAATAATAATAATAATAATAATAAAAAGCAGGAAAATGAAAGGCGGTTGAGTTAGCTCTAAATGACAACCTGAGATTGAAGACATGGTCTTGCTGGGCAAATGCCTGAGTATCTCCAGCACTCAGGAGGCAGAGACAGGTGGATCTCTGTGTGTTCAAGGTTAGCCTGGACTACATAGCAAGTTTCAGGCCAGCCAGAGATACACAGTGAGACTCTTATCTAAAAAAAAAAAAAAAATACACACACACGCACACAAAATGAAGTCAGTTCTTTAATATAAAACAATCACAAAAATCTATTGACTTGACTTTCCTTTGGGGGCAAAAGAATGAGTGACAGGTATAGAAGTTAACAAAGGCACTAGCTTCTCAAGTCCTCCTTCACCTTACTGGTAGTCCCAGCAACTGTAACCCATATTAAGAAAAACAAAGCAAAATAAACAAAACCCCTCAAGGTTAGAGAAAAACAATCTATTAGTAAACCTAATCTAGTCCAAGGATGGTAGAATGAAAAGCTACCAAAACCACTAAACATGGATTTTTCTTAGTTTTGCTTTTTGTTCTGCTTTTTCTTTTTCCTCTGTTTCTAGGGATTGAACTTGGGCTATGCACACGCTGAGCAGGTACTCTACCATTTGGTGGCACTCTCAGTCCCTAATGTGACCTTCCTGACATCAAGAAAACATACAGCTAAGATACACAGCAATAACAAAGCATCCAGCCCATCATGAAATAAATTCTTTAAGCAAAATCAATTTTATTCTAACACTTCAATTAAATATACCTCTTCCATAACAAAAATAACTTTTAAAATATAAAATCGTAAAGCATGAACCTAAGTTGGATACAGATTGGTACTGTTTTAATTAGCCATTGTCAGAATTTTCTGTGATGGAAATGTTATATATCTGCACTGTTCAATTCAGAAACCAGTAGTCATATGAGGCAACTGGGTGCTCTGAGTGTGGCTAGTTAACCAAAAGCCCAAGTCTTTTTGGAAGATAAGCTCTCACTCTGTCGTACAAGTTGTCATCATATTCACAGGCTGAATGCCAGCACTATAGGCATGCACTGCCATGCCTGGTTTTAAAATTAAACTTTTCACAATTAATTTAAACTTAGACACATTAGTGCATTATTGTATACTGTGTGGCATAAGTTTAAATTACTAACAGGAAAAAATTACAGATGATTATTTTTCAAGTAACATAGTTAGGGAATCACTTTCATTTTTATTAAAGGAATAATCAGGCTGGAGAGATGGCTCAGTGGTTAAGAGCACTGGCTGCTCTTGCAGGGGATCAGGCACCCACATGACAGCTGAAAACCGCCTATAACTCCAGTTCCAGGGGATCCAACACTCTCTTCTGACCTCCATGGGCACTGCACAACACAGGTGCACTTATACACATGCAGGCAATACACTATTACACATAAAAAAATAAGTAAAGTATTTCATAAAAGAAAGAAAGAATCTGTAGTCATTTTCATAATTCAATACCAGAGAATGTCAGGGGATCTCAGTTTTAATTCTGACTGTTAGCATTACTTTACATTCTTTGCCTAACTTCAACCTTGTATCACTTACATACCAAGTATTAGGGATGTTGTAGGGTTAGAACACTATTTCCCAATGTAAACATATAATATTCAGCATTCAGCATGGCACATGTTCATAACACACTTTAGCCCCTTTTCCTTCTAGCTTTCTCACTGCTTGAATTAGTCTCACCTCTACAAGGCGAGGTTCATAAGTAAATTCACATCACTCTGTCACTCTGTTTTGTATTATTTTCAGACATGTTTTCACTCCACAGCCTAGACTGGGCTCAAGCTCAGGGCAATCTTTCTGCCTCAGCCTCCTAAGCACTGTAATCACAGGCATGAGCAGTGACACCTGTAACTTACAACTTTCTAGTAGTTCTATGCTGGTAGTAAATATCATCAATGTCCATCTCTCATACTAGTTCCATTATTTTCAGTCTATGGTGCCTAGTGCTCGACACCAAAAAAAAAAAAAAAAAAAACAAACAAACAAAAAAAAATGGTGATTCGTTCTAGTCTGGTTCTATAGCCTGGGCACATCCAATGCAGAATACAGAATAAAAAAAAAAAAAAAAAAAAAAAAAAAGAATAGAACAACATATTTTTTAAACAAACTATATATTCATTTTCAAGCAAAAAAGTCAAATAAAATCAGAAAAAGCTAAGGCAAGCTGGACATGGTGGGAGGTTGAGACAGGAAGACTGCTTCTAGTTGCAGTAAGGCTTGGGCTATGGTGTAAAACCATCTCATAAAAAATAATAATAATCAACAATAACAAGAAAAAAACAACAGGAAAAGGCACAGAGCCAGAATGTTATGATATTTACAAAATCCTTTACTTCCTAATATACTTACAGAAACAGTAAGGTTTCTCCAGGAAATACTGTGTGCTGTCATGTTCTCTCTCTTCCACAGCTCCACAGTTTCATTGCTAGGGTTGGAAGGCTCAGCACATACACATCTGAGAAATTGGAACAGGAAAAATTTTAAGAATGCTACATTTCATGCTCATTATTTTTCTAAGTCAGTTGCACAATAAGGCAACATTTAACTTCTCAGCATTTCTTCCATGTAATTAAACATGGAGAGAAGAAAGTAAAAATAGAAGGCAGAAGCAGGAGCATCCCAAGTTTGTGATCAAGCTGGTCTACATAGGGAGCTGCAGATCAGCTAGAGCTACACAGGAAGACCTGTCTTGAAAACACAACCAGGGAGGGGGAGGAGGAAGAAGTGAAGAAAGAGGAGAAGAAAAGATGGGAAGGGAGGAAAGAAGAGAGAAGAAAGGGGAGGGAGGGGACAGAAGAGAGAAGTGAAAACTCATGACAAACAACCAAATGGTTGATATATATGTATGTATATATGTATATGTATGTGATATTAAACAAATACAATGGTCAGTAAAATAGTTATTTAAAAGCACTAGATGGATATGGCTTCAGGGAAGACTATATCTTCTTTAAACAGATACTATCATGTTTATTAAGACTGTTTACTACTAACTCTTATCTCCTTGTGCTCTACAGGCCTTAGTATTACTGTCTCCTGGTGTCCAAACAACCAAACACTCCCAACAAAATTCACAGCACTATCACCCTTCTCATGCTCATCCTTTATGACCATAAGGGTCACTCTGAGCACAGAGTGTTGTACAACCTATAATCTCAGCATCGTGGAGGTTGAGGCAGGAGGATGAAGCTACACAGCCAACTTGAACAGAAGAAAAGAAACACTTTTTTGTTTTTCTTGTGGTAATGGAGTTAGAACCCAGAGTTTTATGCATGACAAGCCAAGTGCTTTATTACTACCTATATTCCTAGGCCTTAAAGAATCATTCATTTTTTTCAAAAACAGATTTATTTATATTTTATGTATATGAGTGTTTTGCTTGCATGTATGTATGTGTACCATGTGCATGCTTAATGCCTGTGAAGGCCAGAAGAGGGAGTCAGATCCCCAAGAACTGAAGTTACTGATGTTTGTGAGCCACCATGTTGGTGCTAGGAACTGAATCTGGGTCCCCGCAAGAGCCCCAAATGCTGTTAACTGCTGAGTCTTCTTTCTAGCCTCCAAGACTCATTCTTCAACAAGTAAATAAAACAGTTTTTCATCAGAACAGGACCAGGAGATTCTTAAGATCAGAGAGTTCAGTTCATATCCAGAACTATTTCAAATGCCTTAAAAAGCCTAGAAACACAATCAAAGAAACCTCTAAAAGTGAATTTTAAAATAAAAAGTAGAATCAAACCTGAGAAAAGGCAAGAAGATGGATTTGGAGTCCACTCCGGCTCTATCATTTACTAGCTCATTGATGTAAGGCAAGTTTTAACCACTGACAGCTTCAGTTTCTTCACACCCCAGTAGGACTAAGGTATTAACACTATGAAATGAATGAGGCAACAAGAACACAGCACATGCAATATGCTCACAGACACATGCTGTTCATAGCACTTACTGTTATCTAAAATGAAACTTAAAAAATATTGGCTGGCACTTAACAGTGAGAAACTCCAGCATTTAAGAGCAAAGAAGAAAGACACAAGAGAGGTGCCACATACGAGACTAGGGATCAAAGTGTCTAATGTTCTCAACAGGTCAATGTCCTGCAGTAATTTTCATACTCCTTCCTACTTTGTCCATCAAGCTGAGAATGTGCAAGGAAGGTAGCAGGGGAAGAGAGAAATATGGGGGAAGGGAGGAGGACAGGAGTCTGGGGCTTAGTTCCAATAAAGAGAATGGTCCATTTGTCTTTTTTGTTTGTTTTGATTTTGTTTTGATAGTCTGTTGTGGTTCAGATTAGAATCAAATTCTCTCAATGCTGGCCTTGAACTCCTGATCAAGTGCTAGGATTACAACATGCTACCACATCCAGACTGCCATTTTCTACTTATTTTTAGAAGTTATTATTTACTTATTTGGGAAGGGAGATAGCGTATGCCACTGTACATGTGTAGAGACTAGAGGATAACCTTTGAGAGCTGGTTCTCTCCATAAGGTAGGTCTTGGAGACTGAACTCAGATGGTCAGTCTCAGTACCAAGCACTTTCACCTGCTGAACTGTCTCTCTGACCCACTTTTAAAATTTTTATTTATTTTTACTTTATGTGTATGTGTGTTTAACATTCATGTATGTGAATGTACCATGTCATGCAATGCCAAGAGAGGCCAGAAGATGGCATCGGATTCCCTGGAACTAGAGTTACAAGTGATTGTTAGCCACCATGTGGTGCTGGGAATCAAACCTGGATTCTCTGCAAGCGCAGCCAGGGCTCTTAACCACAGAGCCATCTCTCCAGCCCCTTGCCCACTTTTAGTATTTTGATGATCACATTCCTTCTTGTAAGTCAATGGAATGGAGTATTTATATCACACATGATTGCTAGATAGCAAATATGGGCATCTTAGATATATCTGATTTTAACAACCTATTTAATCTTTTATTGTACATATCTCCAACTTTTTGTTACTACACATTAACTTTTCAAATCCTATTTTATCCTAAAGTTTAAATGAATATGAAATGTCCTAAAATTCTCCTTAATCAGAATTTCCAGTAAATATTACCAAGCTTTAAAAATATTAATCATGGGTTGGGTATACTGGCACATGCCTTTAATCCCAACACTCAGAAGGCAGGCAGCTATCTGTGAGATGGAGGCCAACCTGGTTTACACAGAGATTTCCAGCTGGAGCTGCAGAGACCCTGTCTCAAAAGATAAAAAATGCTAATTATCATGGCCTTCGAGATAGCTCATCTGGTAAAGATGCTTTGCTGCTCAAGTCTGGCAACTTGAATCTGATATCCAGAAACCACAAACTGGAAAACCAACTCCACAAAGTTGGTCTGACTGCCACCTGCAGGCTACATGGGCTCCCCTCCACATACACACAAATAATAACTTAAAAAATATTTATCAAGCTGGACGTGGTGGCGCACGCCTTTAATCCCAGCACTCAGGAGACAGAGGCAGGAGGATCCCTGTGAGTTCAAGGCCAGCCTGGTCTACATAGTGAGTTCCAGGACAGCTGGGGCTACAGAGAGACCCTATCTCAAAGAGACAAAAAAAAAAAAAAAAAAAAAAAAAAAAAAAAAAATTTATCAGTGAAAGACTGGGGATATAGTTCAGTAGAACAGGCCTACCAAGCACAAAGTCCTGGCTTCTATGCCCAGTACCACAAAAAAATTATGTCATGCCTTCCTTAGCAATAGTATATCATAATTGGAAGGATAAAATAAATAGCATGGCCATGTACAAGGAGAGCAGGTACATTTGTTGAATATTCCATACTTTTCAAAAACAATAATATAAAACGTGATGTAGGATATATAAAAAGTATGCTCAATATCCTTCTATATACCTAAGATTTGGTTAAAGAACATAAGCAAATACACAGAACAAAGATTGCCAATCTATTTAAACTGGCCAGTCCAACTCAAGCAGAAGACCACACACATGCGCGCACACACACACACACACACACACACACACACACACACGAATAAGTCACTTCAGTTATATTAGTTTCCTTTCCTGCTACTATAATACAATGTGTCAACAAAAGCAATGCAGAGGAGAAAGGGTTTGTTTTAGCTCACAGTTCCAGGTCCTTCATTCCAAGGAAGTCACAGCAGTAAGAGCTGGAAGCAGCAGCCAGTCAGACTGACTGTATCCACAGTAAAGAGGCAGGAAGTAACTAATACACGCTTTCATATTAGAGTTCAGCTTTCTGTACCCTTAAACAGTACAGGATCCCCTGCCTATGGGAATAGGTACCACCCACAGTGGGAGGAACTTCCTACCTCAATTAACGTAATCAAAATAATCCTCCACAGACATGCTCTCTGGTCACCCTGATATAGACAGTCCCTTGAAGGTGAGTCTTGATTGTGTCAAGTTCACAATTAAAACCAACCACCACAGTAAACAAAACTGAATGAACTTGACTAACTAGAATTATATCCCTGAATGCTTTCACAAAATTCCACCTGAAATATGTCAAGTATTCTAGAGCTACATGGTAAGGTATAGCCAGTACAGTGAATATCACACTGCAAAAATTCCATTCCTTCTCTCCCTCCCTACCTTCTACCTCTTCTCCTTTCCTTTCCTCCTCTCCCCTCCCTTTGCATACAGTCCAAGCTGACCTTGTAGAAATTCTCCTACCTCAGCTTCCTGAGCACTGAGATTAAAGATGTGCACCACCAAGTCCAACTCTCAAAATATCCATTTTCTTAGGCTCTAACATCACATATACATATGTAAATGTATATGTGTATATGTGTGTGTCTGTGTATAATATGTATGAATGTTTTGCCTCCATGTATGTAAGTGTACCCATGTGTGCAATGTCTGTGGAGGCCAGAAGAGGGCATAGGATCACAGGAACTGGAGTTACAGATGGGTTGTTAAATGCCTCCTGGTACCTCTCCAAGAGCAGCCAGAGCTTTTAACCACTGAGCCATCTCTCCAGCCCCCCAAAATATACTTTAACATAAGGAAGAAATAGGAGCACTTACGCATAGCTGGTCAGTAGATCCGAGCTATTGTGAGTATTAAATGCATATGTTTTTCCTAAATGAAAGAGCTTCTCCAAAGCCTCATAGATGAATATAATACAAATGAGAGGTGCCAACGCTTCTTCTGTGAACCCAGTAATGTAACACACAAGGCTGCTTGCATCTGCTGCACCCAACACAGTGCACAAGAAAGAAGTCCAAAGACCAATACTGGTTCTTAATGACAAATAGGAAAGGTGATAATCTCTACAGAATTTAAATAAAATTTTTGCAAACACTAGGACCGGACCTGTGCTCCCCAGTATTGTTAGAGGTTGCCCAGCAAACAATGAATGGGCAATCCCAGTCCATGATGCTCCAAAAAGAAACTCTACTGCACGTATTCTGCCTTCTGTAGCTTCTCCAAGCAGTCCTCCAAAAGTGACTGCAGGAGACATACACGCACAGTATAGGAAAAGAATCGAGGCCAGGCACTGCAGTTTCCCATTGACCTTAATAACAGGGCATGGTAACACCAAAAGCTGCCCTAAGGAATCTCCTGCCTTCCAGATATAATCTTCATTACCACCATTGTGGAGAACAAGTCCAATTTCCCCCTGGTAGTCTGGGTCAATCACCCCTCCTAATACTGGTATTCCTTTCTTAGCCTGCTGTGTTAAGGGCATCAGAAGCCCAAAGTGTCCAGGGGGAAGTCTTAGCTTCCAGTTCAATGGAATGTTTATTGTCTCTCCTGACAGAAGCACTCCCTCCTCTGGAACCAAAACACCTAAGCCAGCAGAGTGCAAAGTCAAGGGTACAGGAAGCAAAAATTTTCCTAGTGAGTCACCAGGGGTGATAGTGAGTGGAATCATTCCCACTTCCACCCCTTGATTCCTGGACCCATGAATCCTGGCTATAGGAGAAACTGTACCATATATTGG